TACGGAGGGATTTAAAGTCCACCACCACCACCACCACCACCACCACCACCACCACCACCACCACCACCACCATCACGACTCAACTCATTCTGGTCCTCCCTGTCCCACTTACCACGCCTCCATCTCCCTCAACAAACCATAACCTTCGACAACTGTTCTACGTCTTCAATGTCACCTTGGATGTAAAAATGAAGGATTCTAGTCCCCGAGCCTTGATTAGGGAATTTATTAGCCTGAGATTCAAAGGAAGAGAGGAGCACACGGAACTTCCAGGTGGACTTGATCGCCCACTTTACCATCCACCACCAGCCCATCTTTTACACTGCGATTCGGCCATCTACCTCTAGACCAAGCCATGTGGCACATCGGTAAAAACTTCAGGTGGGCAGAACTGTGGTTTGAGTCGTCCGATCCTTGAAGAAGCAGAGAGGCAGGAAACGGAGATCCTTTGAAGAAGAGACTAGCAAATACCTAACCTATTGCCTTGCAGTGATGTCAAACAAATGCAAGGAGATGTGATGAGAGCCTCAAAAGTGGGAGCTAAAGCTCTTCCAATAAATTATGCCCTCTATAAATTTACTTTCACCTTTCAACAATTTTGTCACTTCTAAAAAAAGAGACTTCACTTCACCAACGAAAATATTTTGATCTTTGGTTGAAATTTAAGGAAACATATTGGTTTAAAGGAGGAGAGGTCACTTGGGCTGCCTTTCGTGACGACTCTTTCCTTTCATCACTGTTGAAGCCGTCGTCTTGTTCACTATCAACCACTTTCTTGTAATATCCTTTGCAACCCGAAGACAAACTTTATTGCCTACTTTTGCCTACTTTGGAGCTACAAACGAGTGAGTCAGAGATGGCATTATTTTTGGAAAGGTTTAGCTTTTAAATGCACTAAATTTGGCTCAACACACACAAATGATTTGCATGGTAGCGTGTGACGCCTCGACATCAACCACCACAAATACTGCCTGCGTTTATGATGAGATGTGAAATTCAGAGGTCGGAGTATGGTGGCCATCAGGCGGCTTACTTTGCGGGCGGGCAGTTTCACTTTCCTACCCCATAAATTTCCCCATAGAGTGCAAACGCATTATGCCCAGTGGGATCGGCTATAAAACGGTGAGCCTCGGCGGGTGGCGGAGGCAGATTGCGGTCTCTCTGAATGAGGTCGGAGAGTGGCTGATTTCGTGCCCCTTCAATGAAATGAATTAAGCTGGGAGGTAGTGCAAGGGTGAGCATTGCGAAAGGCGTTGTAAAAGGCAGACAATTCAAGGAGGGTAAAGCGACCGTTCCCTCAGCAGTCCCCTCGAATGATCGTGTTTGCTATTTTTGGCAAGCGAATTGAGATGGGCGGCAATTTGGATGAAAAATTTATGCAGCTCGAATGAGTGCTTACTAAAGTAACCGTTGTGATGTGAATTGCATTTGAATCCCTTACAACATTCAAATGTTTTACTATAAGGAGATGAAGCCGCCAACTCCCCTTCTGCAATGCAACTTCAAACTTCTAGAGGCCAAAATTTTGCAGTCCCTTTGCCAGGGCACTGACATTTTCACCTCACGCTGATACATGCTTGTTCAAACTGACTGCTTTTTCTACAAGTGCACATGCGGAAAAATGAAGTTTTTAAGCACGATCGTGACAACTACTTTCATCATAGATGAATAGGAAGAGAGTGTTCGAAATAAAGTCTAAGGATTCCAACATTCGATCGTTCTTTTAGGCACAATGCTTAAATTAACCACAAAAGGGCCTCATCACAAACATCCCTACCAAAACTTTAAATGCAGTTACATTGATGTGTTTCATTGCGATCATCACGAGGTCAGGAAGTGACCTCTGTCACAACCCTCGAAGGAGGTGAGAAGGAGAGCCTCACA